GGCCTGGGCTGGATTCGAACCCACCACCTTAGGTGTATGTGGCTGGCGCCTTAGCCACTTGAGCCACAGGTGCTGAGCCAGACTTTCTATTTTTTAAATAAATTCTGTATATATTTAAAGTATACATCATAATATTATAAAATCCATATCTATGATAAAATCAACACATTTATCATTTTATTAGTTACCCATTCCTCTACCCCATGGCAAGAAAAGCAATAATTTACTCATAATAACCAAGACATGGAAACAGCCCAAGTGCCCATCAACCCATGAATGGATTAACAAATTGTGGTATATGTACACCATGGAATACTATGCAGCCATAAAAAAGACAGAGACTTCACATCTTTTATGTTTACCTGGATGGAGCTGGAACATATTCTTCTTAGTAAAGTATCTCAAGAATGGAAAAAAGAGTATCCAATGTACTCAATAATACTGTGAAATCAATATATAAGCACCTACACACTCATATGAATGGCAAAATGTAACTATAATCCAGAAAGTAGAAAGGAAGAGGAAAGAGAGGGGAGGGGAGGGGGCATATGGGAGGAGGAAGGGTATTTAGGGGGACCTCATCAAATGTGCATGATGCAATGGTACATTTCAAAACTATTAAGAAATTAGTATAATTGTGATGGATGTGTTACTTGGTTCAATGTAAACATTTAACATTGTATATTGAAGCAGTACCCTGAACCCCGTAAATGCATCATTGTACAACGTTATGATTTAATAATAAAGAATTAATTAAAAATATAAATAAATAAAGTCAGCCACAGAGCCAGAGTTCTGGACTCAGGGCCTACAAAACCTGTAGTGGCTCCTGGGGTACAGGTTAACCCTCTATGACAGGATTGGATTTAGATTATCCACAGGGCAGAATCTATGAATATGAGACACATCCCACACCCAGCAGTTCAGACACAGGGGACTCCAGGGAAGAAGGAGTATCCTGGAGGTTTGGGTTTGGGGAACAGGGTATAGCTATCATTTAGGAAACAGAGCCAGTAGGGCACAATGGCTATCCAGACACCAGGGTTGAGGCACCACACCCTGGCCCCTGGGATGGTAGAACACAGTAATGTACCAGACTCTGTGAGGCAGGTGCAACAGAAGCAAGGACCCTGGGATGGTGGAATGCAGCTGTAACTCGGCCGCTGAGCATCAAAGAACAGCACAGAGGCAACCCCACTCTCTGGGGAGGAGAGTCGCTACAGATTAGCTTCTGGGAATTTGCTCTAATTGCAGGGAATGAGGATTTTACAGTTGTTCCATCTGTAGGACAGCGTGTCGTCTCAGCTCTGCCAATGCTCTGATCTGGGATAACACATCAGCTCAGCTTGGGATGTGACAATGTTTGGCTCAGCCAAAGCACAGATTCCCTGGGAGGTATTACACCATTTCTGCTGTGGCCCAGGGGGCCATGGCTGCTTTAGGCAACCAAAGTACCATTTCCCTGGGAGGCAGGACACTGCTCCGATTCAGATACACTGGAGTGTGATTGATCTGGGCAGCAAAGGCACCATCTTCCTGGGAAGTAGGGTGCCATGTAAATTCAAGCACAGTGGGGTGTGACTGCCCATTCCTAGGAGGTAGGGCACTGCTTCAGCTTGGGCTGTGAGCAACCAAGGTACTATTTCCTTGGAGGTAAGTGCCCATGCACCCTCTATCTCTGATGCTTTGATGCCACTGAAACATCCCTGCTTTGTGGCATGCCATCCCTGAGCTGAGCTGCTGCTATACCCCACCCTGTGAGGACAAGCTGCTTCAGAGTCACTTTATTGACACCTCCCAGTTGCTGCTGTGCCCTGCCTCTCAGGGCTTGTGCTAAAGCAGCACATTGTATTCAGAGTTGGACACACTCCAACGCTGGTTCTGACTCCAAGGTGGTGCAGCACAGTAGCCCCATGAGGCACAATGGGCCCGTCACAGTACTGGTGAATGCCAAGCAGCTCCCTCAGCTGAGCTTTGTAGCTGTGAAGACTGCAGGAGTCCCCAGGGTGGAGGACTGTAGGTGTCAGACGAGGTAAAAGGGGCTGCTTGGGGCCTCTTGCTTACCTTTTCCCTGCAGGGAGACTCCCTCCTAGTTCTGAGCTGACCCCAACTTAGGGATCGGAAGCAAGGTCTTCCTTCCATTCTTTATGTGGCCATCCTGGAGTTCTGTGCTCCACAGGGTTTCTGCTACACCTTTGAGGTACCCTGGGCCTCTCCATTTCATCAAAATGTAGTTGTTTGGGCTTCGTGCCTGTAGCTCAGCGGTTAGGGTGCCAGCCACATGCACCAGAGCTGGTGGGTTCGAACCTAGCCCACGCCTGCTAAACAAATAAACAAACATAGCTGGGCATTGTGGGAGGTGCCTGTGGTCCCAGCTACAAGGGAGACTGAGGCAAGAGAATTGCTTGAGCCAAAGGGTTTGAGGTTGCTGTGAGCTATGATGCCACAGCACTCTACCAAGGGAGACATAGTAAGACTCTGTCTCCAAAAAAAAAAAAAAAAATGTAGTTGTTTGGTGATTCCTGTCACTGTCTTGGTCAGGAGGAGGGCTCCTGAGGGCTTCTAGCCTGTCGGCTTGCAAATGTCACTCTAGTAGGGACATTTAAACAATATGAACTCTTTAAATACATGAACACAGTAATATATTCCCCTTAATTTGTCACTTTACAAGTCAGTTTTTCCACCAATATTTTACAATGTTCAGCATACTAATCTTGCATTTCTTTGGTTAAATTTATTCCTACGTATTTTATTCTTTTTGACACTTTTGGAAAAAGGATTGTTTTCATTACTTCTTAGAACATTTACCTGCAATCCTATGTTTACTGCATTGTTATCCACAATAGCCAAGACATGGAAACAAATGAAGAGTCAACCAGTGGATGGATGGATAAAGAAAATGGAGAAAGAAAATTCTGCTATTTATAAATAATGGAATATCATTAGACATCAAATAAGGAAATCCTACCATTTGCAGCAACATAGGTGAATTTGGAGGGCATTAAGCTAAGTGAAATTAGTCAGATGATGACAAATACTGTATGATCCCATCCATATGTAGCATCTTAAAAAGTCAATCTCAAAGAAACATAGTAGGTGGGGAAATGTGGGGGAAATGTAGGGGAAATGGGACACTGTTGGTCAAAGAGTTAAAAACTTTCAGTTATAAGATGAATAAGGTCTGGAGCTTTAATACACAACATGGTGACTGTAGTTAATAATACTGTAATCAGGTGGTGCCTGTGGCTCAGTGGATAGGGCACCGGTCCCATATACCAAGGGTGGGAGGTTTGAACCCAGCCCTAGCCAAACTGCAACAAAAAAAATAGCTGGGTGTTGTGGTGGGTGCCTCTCGGCTACTCAAGAGGCTGAGACAAGAGAATCGTCTAAGCCCAGGAACTGGAGGTTGCTGTGAGCTGTGACACCACAGTACTCTACCAAGGGTGATAAAGTGAGACTCTGTCTCTAAAAATAAATAAATAAATAATACTGTAATCGGCTCAGTGCCTATAGCTCAGCGGGCTAGGACGCTGGCCACATACACCAGGGCTGGTGGGTTTGAACCCAGCCCAGGTCTGCCAAACAACAATGACAACTACAAAAACAAAAATAGCTGGGCATTGTGGAAAGCACCTATAGTCCCAGCTACTCAGGAGGCTGAGGCAAGAGAATTGCTTGAGCCCAAGAGTTTGAGGTTGCTGTGAGCTGTGATACCATGGCACTCTACTGAGGGTGACATAGTGAGACTCTGTCTCAAAAAATAATAATAATAAGCCAGGTGTGGTGGCTCATGCCTGTAATCCCAGTGTTTGGGAGGCTGAGGCAGGTGGATTGCCTGAGCTCAGGAGTTCAAGATCAACCTGAGCAAGTGCAAGACCCTGTCTCTGCGGGTGCTATGGCGGGCACCGCAGTCCCAGTTACCTGGGAGGCTGAGGCAAAAGAATCGCTTGAGCCCAGGAATTTGAGGTTGCTGTGAGCTAAGATGCCACAGCATTCTACCAAGGGTGACCAAGTGAGACTGTGTCAAATAATAATAATAATACTGTAATGCACATTTAAAACTTGCTTAGAAAGTAGATTTTAAATGTTCTCACGTCACACTCAAAAAGTTGGTAGCTAGTAATGTGATGGATATGTTAACTGACAGTAGTAATCATTTCACAAAATACAGTATATCAAATCACCATACTATACACCTTAAATATAAATGATTTTATTTGTCAATTGTATATCAATAAAGCTGGGGTAGGGAGGAAAGAGGATACCTAGACAGGTAGAGATACTACATTGCACAGTTGTTTCAGTAAATAATTCCTAAGCAGTCTGACAGAAGTAAGGAGAGAGGCTCATGCTCCCTCCATGTGCACAAAAAAGGGGTCTCCGGGACAGTTTCTGGCATATGAAAATGCCCCATAAATGCTCACCTTATGAATGAACAAATGAATAACTGTATGGAGCAATTCTGTCAGAAGTGAAAGAGCTGACCGGCTACCTAAAATTCCATGGACCTCCCTTACACATAAAGAGCTCATTATCTATCTCTGTAATGATGGATGCCAATCCAACCTTGTGTCCATGAAGAATGTTTGATTCATAAGTAGATCTTCATCATCTCACAAACAGACTTTAGAGGATGATCACAAGGAGCGTCATTCCAGCCCCATGCTGAAGGTGGCTTGCGAGAATTTATCGTAACACAACGCTCTTTGGGATTATTTGGCTCACCTGTATGCCAGAATCTGAAAGGGAGAAAACAGATGAGGGCATTTCTTTAAGCAGTGCTTTGACAAAGGTTAGAGACAGTCAAGGAGTGAGGGGATTGGGATGAACTTTACAGAGGTCAAGTTCAGATATGCCCAAATCCACCCTTCCCCACTAGAAATAGTTTCTCCTTTGGCTCGGCACCCATAGCACAGTGATTATGGAGACAGCCACACCTCACCAAGGGTGGTGGGTTCTAACCTGGCCTGGGCCACCTAGACAACAATTACAGCTGTAACAAACAATAGCCAGGTGTTGTGGCGGGCACCTATAGTCCCAGCTACTTGGGAGGCTGAGGCAAGAGAATCGCTTAAGCCCAAGAGTTTGAGGTTGCTGTGAGCTGTGACGCCACAGCACTCAACCAAGGAAGACATAGTGAGACTCTGTCTCCAAAAAAAAAAAAAAAAGTATAAAGAAATACTTTCTCCTTCACTTGCATCTCTGGCATTTCCCTGGAAAACTGTGCCCACATTACTCAGTATTTTCCATCTTATTGCTTCAAACATCCTCATAGCAGAAATCTCAGAGGCCCCTTGCATTTGTCCATCCTTATGTCCTGTACCCAAGGGACTGGCAGTCCACAGGTTTTTCTTATGTGGTTAGAAGATTTCACCCTGGCCCCACTTATCAATAGAATTTCCTTCCTTCCTTTCTTCCTTTCTTCCCCCCCACCCCTTCCTTCCTTCTTTCTTTTTTGAGTGTGGGGTAAACTCCCACAAAAATTAAATGAAATGTGCTCTTTTAATTCCAGAAACTGAGCAAAAAGACTTGTATTATGCGCTTTTGTGGAGGCCCTAAGTGACCTGGGAAAACACAGTGGGGGCCTGCAGGCCAGGCATAAAAACCTCCTACAGGGAACCCCGACTGTGTAGTCAAGTCAGCCTGTCAGATAAGGGTTGAAACGACTGTGCAGAGGACATGACTCAAAGGTTGCTGTGAGTGAAAAGAAAAACACCACGGTAATGATGTTGAATAAAACACTCCATCTTAACTGCAGGGTCTCCAAACCATAAGAAAACAGTCATGGAGCCTGTTTCTTGGAAATTTAATTGAGTACATAGAAGAGAAAGGTTTTACTCCTCTGTTTATCTTAACCTTTAACTTTAACAATAGAAGTCAGATAATGTATAGTTCTTTTAGGTCTTCAGAGAGGAACAGCCTGAGGCTAGCTTAAGATGGGTGTCTTACTTTCTTGGACTTTCTTTCTTTAGGCTAATCTTACAATGGCTATCTCACTTTCCTGAACTTTCTTTCTTTTCTATAGTTTAAGATAAGAATTGAGGATGCAGCCATAAAGAAAAATTGAGACTTTATGTCCTTCATGTTCACATGGATGGAGCTGGAAAATGTTCTTCTTAGCAAAGTATCACAGGAATGGAAGAAAAAGTATCCAGTGTACACACACCTATTATGAAATTAATTTAAACCTTTTTATATGAAAGCTATAACCTAATAACAACCTAAGGATACGGGGAGGGTGGAGGGAGGGGAGAGAGGGTGGAGGGAGAGGGATTCGAGGGTTCACTTCTGTGGTTCATCTTACAAGGGTACAAGTGAATCTTTCTATGAGTAGAATATGAATGTTTTAACACAATAAATAAGAAAGTTACATTAAAAAAATAAGAATTGAGAATGTTAGGATTATTCATCAATGTGATGTACGTGACTAGCTCCCAATAAAAGGGAGTGGAAAATAAAGACGTTTTGCTAAATGCCATCTAAGAGTATGTAGTCGTTTCTTGCTTTCAAACAATTCTAGGAGCAAGCTTGCACCCACGGCCAAGCCATCCTTCTCTCCCTATGAGAAAGAACATCACCAAACATTTGAGACACAGTCTCACTCTGTTGCCTTAGGTACAGTGCCGAGGCATTATCCCGGCTTACAGCAATCACAGCCTCCTGGGCTGAAGTAATCCTCTCGCCTGAGCCTACTGCTACCATGCCCAGCTAGTTTTCCTGTTTTTAGTAGAGATGGGGTCTCTATCAAGCAATCCACTCACCTCAGCCTCCCAGAGTGCTAGGATTACAGTCATGACCCACTGAGACTGGCTTATATTTTCCTTTATATCAATGCACTGTTTTTGGAGTCTGAAGAACTAGTAAAAATCTCTGTATCTTCTACCTATTCTTGTTATCTTGGACAAGTCATTCAATATCTCTGCTTCTCAGTTTTCCTATGTAAAAAACAGGGCATAGAGGAACATCACTACATATAATATTTCTCACAGTAGATATGAGAAAAGGTGGTAATCTATTCAAGTACTTAAGTTTTTATTATTTATTTATTTATTTAACTGAGACAGAGTCTCACTTTGTCAGTCTCAGTAGAGTACCATGGCGTCATAGCTTACAGTAACCTCAAACTCTTGGGCTCAAGCGATTCTCTTGCCTCAGCCTCCCTAGTAGCTGGGACTCTAGGGTGCCTGCCATGACACCCAGTTATTTTTTTTTTAGCAGGTCTGAGCTGGGTTTGAACCCACCAGCTCCAAAACATGTGGCCTATCCACTGAGCTACGGGTGACCAGCCATACTTGAGTTTTTAAAAAATTACATAATCGGGCAGTGCCTGTGGTTCAAAGGAGTAGGGCGCCAGCCCCATATACTGGAGGTGGTGGGTTCAAACTTGGCCCCAGCCAAAAAAAAAATGCAAAAAATAAATTATATAATTATGAGATATTATAAGGCTATCAGAATTTGGCATTTATGCTTATAAGAAATATGAAATCTTAATAGTTGGTTATGATCTTAACCAACATGAATTTGTATTATATTTGAAGATACAACTATAGGGGCTAAAAGCACAGTAAAAACCACCCGGATTTGAAGACCATCGTTGACACTGTTGGGTGACCTTAGCTGAATTATCCTCACTCTCCAAACTCAATTTCCTCATCTCTATAGTGGAAAAAATAATAACAGGTGCTTCATCAGATTCTTGTGATGACTAAACAACATAATACAATTATTTAACCCAGTGCCCAGGAGTAAACAGGGAGCTATTCTAGTTTTATAGCTGACAGCTACAACACTCTAAACTCCCTGGGTCTTGGACCCAGGAGTCCTTTATCTAATTATATACTCACGCGGCACTCTCATTGTACGGTGTCTGATCGACCCACTGCCAAGATCTCTGACTCTCTGGTTTTGACAACCCCACAAAATAAGCAAACTGTTCATTCAGATTTTGTGTGATGAAATCCTGAGTTAAGAAAAGAAAGGAGTCATAACCTTTAGACCACTCAGCTTTAGCTGCATTCTTTTTTCCCCCAGCCTTATGGTAAATGTTTTATTATTAGTTTTACATATAGGTAACTCTGATGCATAATTTTGTTAGAGATCATTTCTTCTAGGAAAACAATCTATGGATTTATAATGGGAGACAATGAAACAAGAGAGCTCACTTTACAATTTATCAAACCAATCTGGAGCATATCAATACCTTTGTATGAATATTACTTTGGAATTATATAACAAGATATTAATAGAAACCATAAAAGCAAAAAACCTCATATTCTCTAATTTCCCAACATTTTTTAGATTTTGCTTTTTTTTTTTTTTTTTTTTTTA